TTACAGTTAGCACGCCAATAACACCCACGTGGATAGGAGATATAGGTTTCGAAAACCTCAAAATCAGAAATGCGCAACCCGGTTTGACCGCCAGCGGTCAATTGCTTTTGCAGCCGTGACTGTGTCGAACTGTCCGTGCTCGAAACAGTTTCAAGTCGTTCCGGCCTCCAACATGAAAGACCTGCCACCTCACAAGACATCTAAAGTAATCAGTCATACGTTATTCATGTTCGTCCGTCTCGCCGTTCTTGATGGCGTTTCGCCTGGGAAGGCCAAATCCCAAAGGTGCAGTTCGATGGTCTTGCTGTCACCGGAATTGAGATAAAGGTACCCCGCGTCATTAGCCGCAGACGTTAGTCCTCGGTAAGTGCGAGCGTTGGAAATATCATGTTGAATGTGGTAAAATGATGATATGAGTGGTGCACTCATGCCACGCCAAGAAGTCCAGTCTCGACTCATCTGCTTCTTCTCATATGTCGTCGATATCGTAGTAGTCGTCAAAGCCGTATGGTGGACGCCGGATCTGAGGCCTCGCCCAACCATTGCCAACATCATCGTCGTCCTTCTCCGCATCAAGTGGCGTCCAAACGATGACTTTTTTTCGCACCCTCCAACTCCTCTTGTGAAACCTTGCCTTCATGTCCCGCTCTTTTCCGTACCCAGGCGACTTCTGGGTGACGTCCACACTTTCGCCGCGCTTCACCAAGACAAGCAACGCCTTTCGGGCGCCAGCACCCTTTGTCAAATCCTCATCGTCCACCCTGCCGAATCCCTGGAGTTGATGCTCTTCTGGGTTCTGTTCGAAAGACTCTCGCCTGTTCGGGTCAAGAACGGACGTGCAGTCGTTCTCCTCTGTCGACCTGAAGACCTGAACAATCGATCCGGAGCCTTCTCCATCCCTGTTCCACAGTCTCTTGTTCCAGAATCTCGGCTGAGGCTGACGGCATATGTCACCGGTCTCACGAGATCCGTGGCTCCTGGAGGGGCTGAAGCCGAGCATGCGCGAACTCCGAGTGACATAGCGAAGCTCCTTCCAACCGTTCCCGCGGTTGATCAAGTTCGTGATGGCGTCATACTCCGGTGCAGCAGCGGCTACTGCAAAAACTGTCAAGCAGTCCAGTCGGAGCGCAGGGAGAAGCTGAAAGATCGATTCGTGACGATACATGAGGTCGTCGAACCCTTTGAGATAACGCATCATTGGGGAGCCGATCAGCCGAAGGTGGCGGATCTTGGACACAGTAGATTCAGGTAACTCGGAGAGTCTGTTTAGCATAGTCTGAGGGTCCTCAAAGTTGAACGTAACACGCTGAAGCCATATGTCGCGTGTTTCGATGTGTATCTGGCGGGATACGCGCAATAGCGCGAGGGAATGTGGGGCAGGCTTCAGATACCTCTCGCCATAGCGGGGTGTGTATCGCAGGCCGAACGTCAGCCTCGTCGAGTTGAAAGCCAGCTCCCAGATCTCATCGCGCAGTTCTCGAGGTAGTTGCAGCAAGGGGCTCGAATCGTTCATTGCAGTGTTGTCGTCAGTCATCCTTATCGACCTGATGGAGGTTTGGCGGGGTTCATTGTACCAGCGGTACCGGCCGCTCTTGGGCGGGATGAAGTAGTCTTCGTCCTGGATCATCATCTTGGAGAAGGTTTGCCCTGCATTGGAATCGAAGGCCGTGGATGGCACCGAGACATGGGGATTGGCCAGCTGATAAGCCCTTGGTGGTGTTCAGCGCCAAGCAGGTTCCCGGCTTGCCGTCACGCGACACTCGATTAGTCGCCTGGCAATCTCGACTCAGCCACCTTCCATCTCCACTCAGTTGGGACGATTACTCCACTCTTATATCTCGACTTTCCCAATACTGCCAAAATGCCTCGCGCCCGCCGAATATCCCGCAGCCGTTCCTTGTTCCTGGTTGTGAGTCTCCCGGCCGACGCCTAGCCCCGCACCTTGCGTAATTCCGGATGTCCAGACAATAAGCAACGCGTTAGGTTTTGGCCATTACATCAAGCTTCCATCTAGGACGCGTCTTGCATAGACTCTCGCACGGACAAGAACCCATAAATCGCGCTCCAAAGCTAACAAGACGCAGTGTTACGCACTTCCGAAGACCACATATGGAGCCGATTTCCAGCCCAAGCAAACCAAGCACGACACAATCCTGTCGGACCGCTGAGTCTAGATACCGAAGTCCTGCCAAGCATCTCCACACTCACCGAAATGCGCTGTTTACCACCTAAACGCTATGCCACATTGATGTCGATATCCCGTCTCCAGTAGCCATTACCGAGGCGTATGGCTGAGATGCATACAAGCGAGCCTGCCACCGGAACATCTCGGGCGCCACTTCTGGTCCATCGCCCTCCGAGCGGCACGGTGGGACGCGTCCCAACAATTGGATGAGGCTGACAAGTACACCATGCCATGGAGTTTGTTGCTCTTGGCCGACTCTCCTATGCTTGATACGATGGCCACCTATGACGTACGGACATCTTGAAGATCGGCGAGCTTGTAACGGCCTCACCACGCTTGGTATGATCGAATGGAAGCCCGAGTCAGCTTATCCTGCAGGAATGCAATTGTGGATCGGATAGCGCATCGAGGCCGTGGAATTCCATTTCAATACAACCTGCTCGAGGCTGGCGCGTGGGGCTCCGCAATATTCTTTAGCGCGGCACTCGCCATACCGGTACGTCGTTCACGAAGCCATACATGAAGCACACCGACGACTACCGGAGAGAGTCCGATCGTAGGACACATGCCTCAACAGAACTACTTGGCACGAAACGCCTGCTAGATGTTGCACCAAGAATCAACAGGCGCAAGCTCACGATGATGTAGCGGGACTGGTACCGGCATACCGCTCTGGGATATACGAGAGTGGATCTTGGGCCCATCTTAGAGGAAGCCTCGCCGTGTTGGCTTCTAGACAGGTAAGATTATGGAAATATTGCGGATACGTAACTACGCTTCAAAGGCACTTCGAGGGCTCGGTGCTCTTCTCAAAATAGGCTCGGTGCTTAGCTCCTCCGAGGCTCTCACTGGAGGGTCGTGGATGGGCGTCGTCCTCTACCTCGCCGTTCTTAGAAGCGCGGGTGAGCTGAGCTATCGGTGTGAGTACGGTGGAGCAGTAACGCGACTTACCTCGACGCACACCATCGACCAATAATTGCACTGCTTCGCACTTACTGTTCGCTGTCTTTCCTTACTGCTTTTGACTGTCAAAGACCACCAACCTCGTCCGCATAACGAACAGCTCACTTGTGCGATCAGAATGCCTCTCAGTCTTCTCCAACGGTTGTGAATGTTGGAGATTCAGATGTTACTTTCTCAGCGACACGACTAGGAACCTCAGCTCGTACCTACGCTACTTGGCGCATTGCAGGAGCATGTCGTTATCGCGCTGTCGCATGCTGTCTTCACCATATCCCCGCCACGATGTCGTGTCTGCGTTCTGGGACTTGACCGTTCATTCAATTTACCTATCATCTCTTCTCATCAAACACTCAGCTTCGCGCAACACTTCACCTGTTATTCTTCCAATTACTGCTTGTCATCATGTCGGGTGTAATGCACAGCAAGCTGCAATGTCACCCCAGTCACTTCTCTCCAGTATCATAAAGCAAAGTTTTCTTCCTCAAGCAACGCCACCAGGGCGAAGACTCAATGAAAAAAGAAGGTTCCTATCGATCCTCATCACTTGGATGAGTGCCGAATGATTGGAAGAAAGTTCTCAGCAAGCCGAAGCTTGTGAGATCATAGCCGCGTCGGTTGTCGATGTTGCCGGTGGGCGTCGTTGGTCGGTATCGCCGGTCGATGTCGCCGGTCGATACATGTATATGTATATGTCGTCCTCCATCTCGGTGATGTGCTAACCCATTGCGGGTGTGCCTACCCCAGTGGGTACCTGTTGGACCAAGGGCTGGGATAACTCTCTGCACAAATGATGGATGGCAAACCCCGCTTACTTCTATTTGGGCGTGCTAAGCCGCCAGAGCCATCATGGGGATCAGGCCAGGACCATTTGGTCTGTCAGGAAGCCCGAAGGCAACTCCATATCCGTGGCTCTCTTCTCACCCGGTGGTATGCGTATCTCCCCAACGCTCTGGATTCATGCGGTCCATAGCATGCCGTCGTATACAGAGGCATTGCCGCTGGGGCCAGTCCATAACACCGGGATGAGTGGGGGAAGCTGCACTGTCGAGCTGCGGGTGCAAGACAGTGTGGCTACGCCCTCCCTACAACAGAGAGTCACGGATCCAGCGTTAGTACCCAAGAGACACGAGCTCAAGCAAATCGCTGGCAGTGTGAACTGGGGGCAAAGACTAGGAGGATACTGACAGGCTAAAGAGGATCCAGTTCGTAGGGAGGGAATGCTACCCTCGCGGGGATAGTCAGCAAGCGGGAGTTGGGGGCGAGCACTTACCTGCGTGGTGGTGGAGGAAGAAAGAGGTGGAGGACAAGGCTGGAAGAAACTCAATATACGCCGTGTGTAGGCGCCAAGCCAAGAGCCTGTGCGCTGTAGGCGGCAGCGAAAAAATGAAAAGGCGTCACAATAGAAGGTCTGAGACAGGGGTGGAAGTTTCTGCAAAAGTGAAGGTGAACACAGCTCTGTGGGCACGTGGACATGGGCGACGCGGCAAGCGGAACGATAGCGAGAAACATCGTAAAGTTGGAACTCCAACTTTGGATCTTTGAGATTAACGACGAATTGAGAAGGTATCGGGATATCAAAAGAATAGACATGCAAAGCATTGCGCTCGTATAGTCGGCCTGGCAACAGAACCACCCGATAGCTGGGATATCGCGAAGATCCCCATTGGCTCACCCTGGTTGTCTGCACACACATCTCTGCAGACATATCCTCGTTTCGTGTAATATGAGGCTGCTCGCGTACAGTCAGCTCCCGCCACTACCACGAGTTCTGGGTAGCAACCAGTTGCTCCTCCCCGATCAAGTCAAAACAACAAGTGACGACACTGCCAACATCAACACACATACATCCACGATGGCGAGCGCGCAGACTACTGGCGCCGCCAGCTTCCTGAAACTACCTACTGAGTTGATGGACCAGATCGCTAGTCTCCTTCCTCGATCGGCCCTGCGCGCACTTGCCCTGACGTCAAAGAAGGCGAACGTCTCCGCGACCGACACCCTCTACAAGACCTACCTCAACCGCACCGCGCCAGCGAAGGCGCCCTTCCATCTCTTCCTCCGCACGGTATGCGAGCGCCCCGATCTTGCGGCGAAGGTGAAGCTTGTCGACATCCGCGGATGGCGTTCGGAGTATGAGGTTGCGACAGGAGCTGCGTGGCGGGGCGTGACGGAATTTAGGGATGTGGACCAGGTCGAGAAGAGTGGCCCATCGTTCACAAGCACAGAGAAGAGCGTGCGAGATTCAGCTGCAGCGAGATTCAAGTTGTTTGTCGGAGCTGCAGTCAAGGCCGGTATAGTCATGGAGCCTACATCGCTTTCTGTATCGGCGCTGAAGGCGAGCATCGTATGGTATACAACACTGAAAGAGGACGGCGACTTCCTACGACTCCTCAGGAGGGGCGTAGAGGACGCGCAGCTTGTGCTGATGCTGGCTCTGCTACCCAACATGGAGGACCTCCGGATTGATGGACTGAGCCCCTTTCCGCTCCTCGACTGGTAAGTCAAGTCCCTCTACGGTCGACGTGAAACATGTACTGATCTGGTGCACCAACATCTAGGCATCAATTCCTCTCTCGTTCTAGCACAGCGCTTCAGAAGGTTTCGGCGCTACATATCAATGGCTCGAACACGAGCGTTGAAGAGCCAGTTGTCAAGAACAGTCTACAGATCTTCGACATCATGCCAAACCTGCGGAGCATCTACCTTATGGCCATCGCCGCCGGTGGTCATAATTTCACGACCAAAGCGCTTCCTTCGACCAGACTCGAAGGAGTTGTCCTTCTCAAATGCGCAGTGAACGTTCGCCTCTTGCGTAAGATCATGATCGGCCAGAGTCTGGTCATTATGGCCTACCGACCTGCTCCAGCTCAGGTCGATGCAGTCACAGGATCCGACATCGCTCTACCAGACCTCTTGGCTTCATTCGCGCATTCCAAGCTCTCGCTGCAGAGGCTAATGCTATTTTCTTCTGGAAACAAGTCTGGAAAGAGTAACCTCAAGAGCTTCGGGAATCTCAAAACACTGATAATACCTCTTTTGGACCTCCTAAGCATCCCATTTGATGAGGCAGAGCCCGATACCATCCATGCTCTCCTGAAAGACCAGCTTCCGGCTACCCTGAAGCACATCACTCTCCGCTATATGACCAGCAATATTCAGACTAAGATGGTTATAGAACAACTGGCTGTGTTGAAGATGCAAAACGTATTGCCGGACCTCGACAAAGCAACCTTCAATTTTATAAGCGCCGTGTCATCGTCCTTTGTCTCCGCGACTATGATCAATATTGATGGTCCTACGGGAGAATTCGCTGCAGATACTACGTGGGAATCACTACCAGAGATGGAAAAGATGGTTCGGAAAGACTGTGGCAAGCTGTACGAAGACGCAGGCATCTGCATGGTGGTAGAACAGACGGACCGCTAGAAAGGTGGCTGGACAGAGGCGCACATCAGAGAACTGCTAGGAGGAGGGTGGAAAATACAGAAAGGAGCCTACAGATTTCGGGCCCTCATTTTCTTCATCGTTGAAGGATGATAGTGGTGTGAGGATGTTTGGGCATCTCTCCGGTGCTGATTTGGGACTAGCCTGCTTCATGTCTGTTCGCATCCCAGGTTTCCCATGACATCACTTCCATAGAATACTCTTCAAGATCCACCATTCGTGACCAAACCGTCGCGCACTATCTACGGATCCACGGCATATCGTCCAAGAGAACTACTGATTCCGTGGCGCAATGTGGCTCAGCAGGCACGTGGCGCTTTATTCGTTCGCCACGATGACGCGCACTCGACTGAAGCTCCCGGTCGCGCGTAATGCCCTGGGTTATTAGCCCACCACCCCGCAGCTCACATTGCGACATTACCTGTTATACGCACTCTACATCAGATCTCTTCAACTTTACTCGCCTTCCTACACATCCGACACTCGGCTCTCTCATATCAACCTCACAGCATGGCAGACTTCGCACCACCACCAGTACGTACATCGCAATCGTAGCATTGGTGTCGCATGGCATCGCTAACAGTATTCACAGGGCCCTCCCCCGCCAAAGGTACCCGAAGGCTGGAAGGCCGTCTGGAACCCACAATACAACGAGTGGTTCTACGTCAACACCTACACAAAGCAGTCGCAATGGGACAAGCCAACCGAGGCTGTCTATCCTCCCGGCGAAGCCCCGCCCGCTGGCGCACCCCCCGGATATGCGCCTCCAGCAAGTGGCGCGGTAGGTGGGTACCCCAGTGAGAAGGGAGGCTTTGGCAGCAACAACCCATACGCGAACACGAGCGAGGATGAGGCGCTTGCCAGGAGGCTACAAGAAGAAGAACAAGCGCGCGCCAACGGACACTCGAGCGACACACGCGGACATGCGAACGACTACTACCAGCAGCCTGGCCAGTCGCAACCACCACAGTACGGCGGCTATGGCCAGCAGACCACCAGCTCGTACCCACAAGAGCAACACCACGACTCGAGTACACAAGACAAAGGAAGCAAGGGCAAAGGACTGCTAGGCAAGATCCTCGGAAAGGCCACTGGCTCATCCCATTCATCGTCATCGCACGGTTACCCACCACAACAGCATGGCTACGGCCAGCCAGCATACGGTCATGCAGGCTACGGAGGTGGTTATGGAGGAGGAGGATACGGTCGGCCCATGGGCGGGGGTATGCCTATGGGAGGTGGCATGGGTGGCGGCAGGCGTCCGGGAGGCGGCGGCATGGGAGGCATGGCCCTTGGAGCTGGAGGAGGTCTGCTGGCCGGTGGGCTCATCGGATCAGCAATGGCAGGAGACGGTGGCGACACCTACGTCGAGAATAACTACGGTGATGATGATATGGGTGGAGGAGATATGGGCGGTGGTGATGACATGGGCGACATGGGCGGCGACTTCTAAGGCGACACAGCCTTATCCTAATAGTCTCACGATTTTCCTTACTTGTTTAGATACTAGGGTCGCCCTTCCTATGCTCTGATAGCAGAATAATATCTTCATCTTAGTCAAGTACACTCCTCTAAGGGCGGTTCTGCGAACACTCGCGCACATGTGAACTATGACGTACCTCAGTGGTCGGTTTAAATCTGACCGAAAAGTGCAACACCAACAACGCCACTCTCGCAACCCAACAACACCTTCATGCTAAGAGCAACTTCGCGCCTAACAAACATCATGGCAGCCGAACAGCAGAAGCGTAACATTGTCATCATCGGTAAGACTGGCCGAAAGTTTTCTATTTCGATGACTTTTCTTGCTAACAACTTCAGGTGGCGGCATCATTGGCTCAACTACAGCATACTTCCTGTCGCACCACCCAAACTTTAACAAAGAGAGAGACAGCATCACACTTTTAGAAGCTACTAAGATTGCTGGTGGCGCCTCAGGAAAAGCAGGTGGTCTTCTCGCATTATGGGCATACCCCAACTGCATCGTTCCGTTAAGTTACAAACTTCATCAGGAGTTAGCCGAGAAGCATTGCGGCGCTGAGCGTTGGGGATACCGAGCCGTGCACTGTGGTCAGGTCGATACGTACGGTGTTCTAGCCAAGAACAAGGGTGGCAAAGACGGTGCGAACGGCAAGAGCAAAGATGACTCGGTCAGTCTACAAAAGCGCACGCAGAGAGCAACTGGATTACTACGCGCTGCCGGTGTACCGAAAGACCTCGATTGGGTAGCAGCGGATGGCATCAAGTCTTATGAAGAGATGGGCACACCACTCACAACGGCGCAAGTGCACCCCTATCACTTCACCACAAGCATGGCGCAGCTCGCCGAAGAAAAGGGTGTCAAAATCGTCTACGGCTCCGCCACCAACATCGAACATGAAGCCGGCGCCGTAAAATCAGTTTCCTACAAGAGCAAAGACTCAGGCGAAGAACACAACCTCCCCGCCGACACCGTCATCCTCACAGCCGGCCCCTGGACAAAGACAGTCTGGAAGCCATCACCCATCTCTGCCCTGCGCGCCCACAGCGTCACCATCCGCCCCTCCCGCCCCGTCTCCGCCTACGCCCTCTTCACCTCAATAGACATGCCCCGCGGCAACAACAAACGCGGCGAAACCGTAACCCCAGAGATCTACGCCCGGCCCAACCAGGAAGTCTACGCCTGCGGCGAGGGCGACCACCTCGTTCCCCTACCCACATCTACAGATCTCGTTCAATGCGACGAGAGTAAGTGTCAGGAGATTTTCGACCAGGTCTCTGCTATCTCCGAGGAGCTGAGGGACGGAGAGGTTACGGCGAGGCAGGCGTGTTATTTGCCTAATGTTAGTAGGGGGAGTGGGCCGCTTATTGGGAGGACGAGTGTGAAGGGCCTGTTGATGGGGGCTGGGCATACTTGTTGGGGGATTCAGAATGGGCCGGCCACGGGGAAGTTGTTGAGTGAGTTTGTGTATGATGGCGATGTGAAGAGTGCGCAGATTGGGAGTCTGGATCCGAGGAAGTTTGGGGTTTAGATGGCGTGCGTTGGGTAGGATTTAATTTGAGTGATCGAAGCTACGATGATGTCCTTCAGTCGACCGAGCCGCCATTGACTCTGGCGGTGTCTTGTTTTGGTGATGGAATCTACTACGGACACTGTTACTCCCTCAGGTCTTACAAGAACATCCTCTCCGCTTAGGCATACACATCGGTTCCTATCGTCTGCGCGACATAGTGTTCTCTTCGTGAGAATTTTTCGTAACCGGTAGCGTTCACACTCAGTCCACGGATCTTTCGTTGTAGTCTTCTGTGCACCAGCTTACACCATGCATATTGCCCGCTCTTTTTTGAGTCGAACGTTCAATTTAATATGTGAAAAGAGAACGGGTTCGAGTGCGAGATCGGATCTTTATAATCCCAGACAAGGGCTACCCACAGCAACAACTCATCAGGGCCCGAGCTTCTTCTTTGCTGGCAGCCGTCTCGCACATACATTGCCTGAATCGTTGTTTTAGATGCTAACCAGCATATGGTGATGCCAATATTGTTTTCGCAACTGCTCTCAAATGAGAACATGTCTTGGTTGATGTAGAGTTTAAATCGACTAGTGCTCTCTTTCAACCGACCGTCATACCCGGTTCATCTGTTCTTTTTGGGGGTTTGGAGAAGCAGAGAGAATCTCATGAATCGGATGCGTCACGTTTTGAGATTTTTTAGGTTGGACATACGACTGTGGTGCTGAATGTTGGGAAGTGCGGAGAGGAGAGGTTTTATAGATCTAGGAGTCTACTAGTCGAGCTGTAGATGGAGACGAGTGGCTGGTAACACTTATGCGATTTTGGAGATCTCACTTTTGGTTCGCAATTGGCTGGTCAGACCATGAAGTGAGCGGCTCAAATTCTCGGATTAAGATCGGGAGAACTGGGTAGTCTGCACATGGTAATATTGGAAGTTCTTCCGACCACTCAGTCATGTTGAGACATCGTTAAAAATTTCCGACTTGGAGCAAACACCATAGGTCGCGTGTTCGTGCTTTTGTAGACTGTCGGGAGAGAGGGGTTGGATGGAGAGTAAGTCGAGAAACACAATCGACGGCTTTATAGTAACGCTCCAGCGCATGCTCGTAGCCATGAGAAGCGGAGCCCACTGTTTTGGAGTGTTTCAAGAACGCAGACTGGTATCGCTGTACTATGCTGAGTCGACACCATGAGTGAGGCGGCATGGCTCTGATCTACCACGTATTTGGTGGACCACGTCTCGACAGCAACATGAACGAGCTGACCTCGCTCCAGGAAGGCAACCAGAACATGCTATGCTATCTCCAGTATTTTTCGGTCCGTAGGAAGACAGTCATTGCTCATGATGAGCGTGATTTTTGGAAAGAGGTATTCAGACAGAGCGGCTGGTGAGTTAAAGGTAGCAAAGTCTGGAGCCTTGGTATAGTAGACATCTAGGCCGGAAGATCAGCCAAAATCATACGATAGCGGTCAAAGAGCTTTTGCATGTAGTAACTTGTGGAAACCGAGAGCTCGGAATAAATCGAATTTTGCATGGTTTTTTGTCCATCTCGGGCAGCGAACATACAGATTTTTGCCGCTCATTTTGCATGCATCTGTCGCTTCGCAAAAAGTCCTTATCAGGTCGGTTGGGTGGTCTGATACGACTAAAACTGCATACAATTTGCTTTACGAGACCAGCGCGGCCGCAAGATCATGGCGGATCTCTTTCGCCTTTTCGTGCTTCTCGCCTCTCCCATAGGTCATCGATCTTTGTGTTTGATAATATCGTTTGGTGAAGTATTTGTGAAGAAGAGGCGTAGATTCGAAGCCGAGAGAGTCCTTACAAGCCCAGTAAAAATGTGGCCCGTGTTTTGATGAAAGCTCTTCTGCGCCGATTGGCGTAAGCTGGATGGTAGATGTGGAGGCCCAAAGGAGAGAATCATAGATCGGTGCTTGCTATTTTTCGTGTCTTCATGTGTTTCCACTTGGCATACTTTGATTTGAGCG